GGTGTGGGCCCGCTGGAGACCAGCCACACACAACACTGCACAGGAATGGCTTGCCCGGTGCTGAGATGCAGCCACTTCTGGTGTGGGGCAGCTGGAGAACAGCCACACACAACACTGCACAGGAATGGCTTGCCCGGTGCTGAGATGCAGCCACCTCTGGGGTGGAATTGGGTAGCGTAGCTGGTCTCTCTGCTGCCCCCTGGTGGTGGACGGGAGAAAGGGCCCTAGTGGAATCACTATTGAGGCTGCTGACTCTGTCTTTTTGCATTTCAGGTGCCCAGCAGAGCGAGGCAAACGGAGGTGAGTCTTGAACCACTCTCAGCAATGCCCACGCCTGGTGCCAGCCCCCCAACAGCAGGGTGGCCAGGTGTCCGGTTTTTGACTGGAATGCCCGGTCAAAACGGGACCCTGGTGGCTCCGGTCGGCACTGCTGACCAGGCCATTAAAAGTTTGGTCGGTGGCCCAGCGGGGCTAAGGCAGGCTAGTCCCTGGGCCGCTGACCGGGAGCCGCCCGAGGTAAGCCGGTGCCTCAACCCCGAGTCCCAACCCCCTGCCCCAGCCCTGAGCCCCCCCCCAAACCCAGAGCCCCCTCCTGCACCCCAAAACCCTCATCCTCAGCCTCACACCAGAGCCCGCACCCCCAGTCCAGAGCCCTTGCCTCCGCCTGCATCCCAACCCCCTGCCTCAACCCGCAGCCCCCTCTCACACCCTAAACCCCACCCTGGAGCCCACACCCCCAGTTAGAGCCCTCCCCCCACACACACTCCAACCCCCTTTCCCAGCCCAGTGAAAGTTGAGTGAGGGTTAGGGCGAGCGAGCCACTGGGGGAGGGTGAATGTAGTGAGTGGGGGCGGGGCCTCGGGTTAGAGGCGGAGCCTCTGGGAAGGGGCGGGGTTATGGTGTTCGGTTTTGTGCAATTAGAAAGTTGGCGACCCTACCCAAGAGACCCCAGGGCCAAGCCGATCTCAGCCAGGATCCGACCTTCTGTCCCCTTTCTCGGCAGTCTGCGGGAAGCCTCAGTTGAACCTGAACCGGCTTGTGAAGGGGCAGGACACGGTGCCGGGAGAGTTCCCCTGGCAGGCCAGCATCCAGTGGAAAGGAGTTCACATGTGCGGGGGGTCCCTGATCAACAACGAATGGGTGGTGACGGCCGCTCATTGCTTCCACCAGTGAGTCCAGGAGTTCTCCAGCCCCAGCTCTGCCGGTGCCCCTCACTCCCGACCCGCAGCCCCTGCC